TATGTCCACCAAGTCTATTTGTTTCAAGCTCTGGTTCAGTTCTGTTATTTCTTTCTAAGTTTTTGTTTGATTGATCTATGTATTTGGGATAACAGGGTGTTAAGATCTCGTGTTAAGATTATGATATTGGACATTAGATTTTTCATGTCCATTAAGATTTGCTTTATATAGTTGGGTGCTCCCATGTTTGGTGCATACATATTTATGAGTGTTACCTCTTCCTCTTGAATTTTTCCCCTAACAAGTATATAGTGGCCTTCTTTATTTCACTTGATCATTGTTGGTTTGAAGTTGAGACTGTCTGTAAATAGGATTGCTAACCCTGCTTTTTTTCTGAGGTGCTGGGGCATGTAATATTGTGTTCCATCCTTTGACTTTCAGCCCATGGATATCTTTATGAGTTAAATGTGTTTCTTTTATACAGCATATTGTTGGGTTTTGTTTCCTAATCCACTGTGCTAGTTTATTTCTCTTATTTGGTGAATTGAGTCCATTTACATTGATCGTTAGACTTGAGATGTATTGACTTATGTTTGCCATGTTATTTACCTGTTGTCATTTACTCCTTTTTCTACTGTTTAATTGCTTGCCCTATTTAGTTAGTTGCTTCTGATCTCATTTGTGGAGTTCTGATCATTTTGTTCCCTCTCTAGAACATCTTTCAGTAGCCTGTGTACGGTTGGCTTTGTCATCATGAAATTCTTTAGTTGTTCTTTGTCATGGAAGTATTGTACTTCTCCATCAAACCTGAAAAGAGTTTTGCAGGGTATAGTAGTGTGGGCTGGAACTTGTTTTCTTAGAGGACTTGAAGTGCTCTCCTCCATGCTCTTCTGGCCTCTATGGTTTGTGAAGAGAAGTCAGCCATAATTCTGATGGGTTTTCCTTTGAATGTGATCTGCTTCTTTTCTCTAGCGGCTTTCAGTATATTATTTTTGTGCTGAATTTCTGGTATCTTGACTATTATATGTTTCAGTGTGTTTTTCATTGCACTGAGGTTACTTAGCGTTTTTTATGCTGCAGTTACCTGAATGTCAGATTGTTTCCTCATATTTGGGAAGTTTTCTGCTATTATTTCTGCCTATATTTTTTTAATGTCATTTGTATTGACTCCTTCTT